TGGACAACGAGCGCATCGCTTCGGCCGCGCGCCTTTCGCACGAAGACTTCGTCACCCTGCCCGGCCTCCAGCGCCGCGAGCTGCTCGCCACCGCCTTCGCCGAGATCGCCAACGCCCCGCCGCACAAGCGAGCCCCGCCCGCGCACACGGTCGCGCCCGCCGTCGACGCTTCCACCCCCGCCGCAGGCGATGTCCGCGCCGCCGTCAGGCCGGCGCGCTTCTTCTGGAACGCCGCCGAGAGCGTCAACGGTCGCGCCGCCGCGCTCGGCTTCGTGCTTTGCTTCGCAAGGGAGGTTCTCGAGCCCGGACATCCGTCGCTTGTGGACCAGGTCGTCGATGTCGTCGTCCCTATCGCGCAGAAGACGCCCCCGTTTCTTGTCGCCGTCGTCGACCAGATCGTCGACTTGCTCACGTGATTACCGCGCGGAGGGCCAGGGGAGGGAAGGCCCGCGTTTGGGGACTATCGTAGTGTAGATGCGCGTCGTAGAGTAGTGTGCGTGGTACTTGTTCGTCCTATCCGCTCGCGTTGACGCCGGGGGGGGGCGAGGGAGCCCGTCTCTTGCATGTCGACGGCGAGTGCCGTTTCGAGGGCCGAAGGTTTTGCCGAAACGCCTCCCGTGCTCGACTCAAGATCAGTCTCCATCCCAACAACATTCGGAATAAATTGTTCCAATTTCTCCCTCCCGTGCCTGCGCCGGCCGGCCAACCTTCCACTACCCCATCCCATTCCCTTACTCCCACCAACCCACCACCAACAGTTTGGGAAAACCTAATCGCCCTTATCAGCACTTGCGAACAGCACCAGGCAGCTACTTCCCTCGCCAAGAAAGTGCTTGTCCTCATCAAGTCTGGAAAAGTTTTCAGTGGTGATTTTTCTAGTAGCGGAACGGAAGGCCCCGACGGTGTGGATCCCAAAGACCCTCACACCTGGTCTATGAACCACTTTGCGAACATGCTAGAATCAAAAACTTGTCCCTTGTCAAGAAAATCGCACGATGTGTTGACGGCCAAGGTTCTCATCCCGCTTCGAGGGCGCGATGAGGGGAGAGCTCTCTGCGCATGGTTATCTTCAGAGGGCAATCTGAAACAGTTGCAGGGCATTTGCGATACCATGCTTTCCCTGCCCCCGCTCACATTGAAGTCATTACACTCGGCCATCCGGTCTCAAATGAAAAATTATGACCGCATGCAGAGTCAGGGACAACTATCTGGTGCAGACGTGCTTCAGCTCCCTTTCCAAACAAGAAAACTTTTTAAAGCAGCAACGGCTTTGCAATCGGCGAACACAAATGTGGACTTGTGGCTTGATTATCTGGATTTCGAAAGGCGCATTGCACGCGAATCAAAGCTGGCAACAAAAGTCAACTGGCAGGCATTGAAGACTTTAGACGCAAAGCGAGGAGAGCTCTTTACAGAGAGACAAATTCTCCGCAACCTTGCATGAAGAACAGCGTGCTGCTCTGAAGCGTGCTGGGAAAACGCTTGGGACGCACCATACTCGCACTGATAGATGTCAGACCTCTCAATGACTGATTCTAACACGGGCCGTTTTATCCATCGGGCTGAAACACATTCAATGCAATACAACATTACGCTCCACTGTTCTACTGCGTACTACCAACTCGCATCTCTAAATTCCGAGCATTGTGGCGAGCCTTTTTTTGCCACAGAGCTGTCTCAGAAGCAGCGCATGTTTTGCCAGGTGAAGCCCACGATAGTATGGGTGTGGGGGGGGGGGTAGGCGGGCAAGTCGATTTACCGCACAGCATCTTCAACAGTGCTATCGCCCTCTTCGACGAGTTCGGCGCGCTCTTCTCTAGTCCATTCATCTTTGGTGCCGATGGAGACTTTTGAAGCACTGAAAAGGCGCTGTTGGCATATGACGGCAATGGCCATCATGACGGCACACAGGCAGAAGACGGTGGTATTCTCATAGTTTTTGTACAGAATGAGGCAGACTATGAGATTCAAAGGAAGACGAAAGTAGTTCATAATGGCGGATCTGGTGACCTCGGGAACATACTTTGCTCGCATGGTACCCATAGCCGGAAAGTACAAACCGCAAATGACCTCAACCGCAAGTAGAGCGCCGTACACCTCCCATACATTGGATGATATGGTGGTGACGACAAAGCAAACGACGCCTATGATGTACATATTGCGCATGAATAGCTCAGCGGGTTGTGTCTTCATAAGAAAGACGAATAAAATGCTTCCAATTATGATGCAAACCATGAAGGAACTAAAGATCATGCCATGCGGAATCTCGCCAAGTGACATGGCATGCGACGCGGCCTGTAGCGCCGGGGTCCAACTGAAGACCATGAGATACATGGCAGACTCAAAGCAGGACTGAATGATGCCGACAAGCAAGATCTTCCCATCGGCAATCATCATATGCCAGGCACTGCGCAAGCCGCCGGTGACGGTCTGCCTACTATCGCCAAAGTTCTCGGACCAGGACAACATGACAATGAGGCCCGTGGCGGCGAGGATGACAGCGGCCGTATCAAACGGAGCGACCTTTCCAAACTGGGCAGCGACCATGCCAGCAATCTGGCCTGCGACAATGGCGACGACAGCATTCCCAAACTGGGCCTTTGAAAAAGTGTCGGCGATGAGGTTGGGATCAAAGCCGCGGTTGTTATGCTCCGACACAAGCCACGAATCAAAGGCCGAGAAGAGGATGCTGGTAGCAATGCCCGCCAGCAGCCTGCCGACCATCAAGGTAGCAAAGTTCGGCGAGTGCTTGGTCATGCAGGACAGGGCGTACGTGATGACGAAGACCAGGACGTTAAACTTGCGGCCACACTTGTCGGCGATGGAGCCGATAAAAGTGCCGAAGATGGCGGACGAGCCAAAGCCGGCGATGAAGAGCTGGGCGATCTCCTTCCCGTAGCCGTACTCGGCGTACAGCGCGTAGATGTAGGGCCCCTGCAGCCAGTCGGCCGCGATGGCCAGCAGGTATACGACCAGTTAGTTGTTCTGGAAGGCTGGTGGTACGGCAGGCGCTCGGCGCGCGGGCCCAGGAAGAGGGCGTAGCCACGGATCACCTGGGCGTCGATGTCAAGCAGCGCATCCGCCAGGCCCAGGCGGCACAGGGCGTCGTGTCTTGGAAGGTGTTTGGACGGCGGGTGACCACGCACGTGTGGGGGATCGTGGCCGGGTGGTGGCCGGTGGGGGATAGGGCGGCGGTGAGGTGGCGGGGGCGGGGGGGTGTTGCATGGTGCGCGCCGGGGGAAAGGACGCTAGAGTAGAGCAGGCAGCAGACGACGACGATGGAGAGCGTGCGGCGCACGATGGCGCGTCGCGGCTTAGTGAAACATCGAGGTCGAGGCCGCACGCATGTCCCACGGCGACGCACGCTAGTGCCAAGCCTGCGTCCAGCGTAGTAGCCTCGTGCAGAAACCGGCGCGCGACCTCGGTCTTGCCGCACGCGAAGGAGTATTAGCTGACGGCCATCCAGCTGACGGCGCTCTTCGGATCACGGTCCACCAGCCAGTGGGCTTCTTGCAGACGAAGAATAACGCCACCCGACTTGCGAAATTCGACGAGCTATGAAGAGATGAGGGAAGGCCACTCCGGTGGCACTCCGCACAAGAAACGGCGGGGGGATGCTACTGCGGTGGCACTCCGCATGTGATACGACAGCACTGCACGGTTGACCCAGATTTCCGCTCTGCTGTACCTACTGTTACCAAAAACGATACAGGAACCAAGCTCCCAAACAACACGGTTACAGATAACATATACGGTAAATCCACGCCCGATGGATGAAAGGAAGACGGCAACCACACTGATTTCAGTCCTGCCATCCCCAGACCGGCATCAGCCTCTCTGAGCTGATAGGTCACTATAAAGGCAGGCCCGAACCTCAGAAGCGCTGCCATGGTAAACAGAACAAACGTCGCTGCTCTTTTTCGCAGCAAACCAGGAATGCAAAACGCAAAAGTAAAGAGAAAGCCTAGAGAACATAACTTGGGCGACATTGCTTCGAAGTCAGAAAGCGAAAACAAAGCAGACAATAATCGTATCACTCTCGCCTTCATCCCAGTCTCAGGCACCCCGTTAAACGAAAACGGGTGCGAAGCATGCCGCTGCGAAGCTGAATGAATGGTGAGCAGATGCGGTTGTCCATCGTCATACAGGGACGCATTCCACGGTACCCCATACGCAATCACGCAAACCTCAGGAGCACTCTTCTCAGACTGCTCCCCTGTTCGTTTCTCGCAGTTGGACGATAACCTCTTCACAACACCCAGTGGCACTCCATCAACACGAACCTCCAGCTTGGACCCCTCCATCACGCGTTGAGGCCCGACAAGCCGCACATGTGAAGACATCAACGCACCCCACCCTGCGCCGACACTCTGGGTCAAACGGGATGACACGGTCATTGCGTAGTCAGATATACCATGAAGGTCTTCCTCATCTGATGAGTCTTCATTGTCGTTCCCCATGTCAGACGCTCTGACGGCCTTACCATCGTCTGTAAATAAGAGACGATTGGCACTAGGCATTGCTTTTAGCAAGTCCAGTTTTCGCCTCTTGCGTTTCCGCATCAGAATCACCTCGGAAACCTCATAAATGCTGTCACCCGCCTCGTTAACATTTCACGATTTAATTTTGTGATTGCAAGTCATTTCCTCGCTTTTAAACAATATTTGGAATGTTCATAAACAAAACTTCTGTTGTTTCAGAAAAAGTGACGATGTACCGTTCATAGACAACATTGAGAATGTTTCTTAGGTCTATATGTATTGCCGCCACACATACAATAGTACTGTTATTAATGCAATCTAATTACCGTCCTTGGACAATAATAGTAATGTTTTCCATGTCAAAAACATTGCTTTTGGACAACGTTTCGTTATTTCTTTAAAACTATCGTCCAAAAACAATACTTTTTATTGTTTTTCACGGTTTTGCCTCCGCAGTGCGGAACAACGAATGTTCACGGCGTGCAGGGACTACCACTACCAGGTGGAGACGCGCCCAGAAATGCGCAATCTCCTCCGGCAATCGGCGGGCGAAGCCGGCCCCCCGCGTCAAGGATTCTCGAACCGTTCGGGTGGGAGCGCACGCTTCGCCCCACGAAGAGACCCTGGTGAGTCCGGTGGCGACCACCATCCGCGAAGAACGCGAAGGCGCCCAGGCTTCCGTAAGCCCGGCGCGTGTGAACGAAAGAGAAGACACCCTGACCTCCGTAGGTCAGATGCCACGGACCGACCGTGAGGGCACCGAGGCTTCCGTAAGCCCCGTGCACAAGACGGAGCGTGAGGCGTGGGCCAATGCAATACGCCCCAAAGATCCCACCGATTGCCGTGTAGCCGAGGGGATCGCATATGCGCTACACCTCACTGACTTGACCGATCAAGTCGGGGAGGCAGGAGCTGGCCGACCTAGCTCCGCAGAGAGGACGCCGTCGAAATGGGAGGGATCGGCACGAACGACCCCCGGCCAAGTGCCCGCCGCCGACATCCAGCGCGCCGAAGATCCCGAGGCTGGCCCGCTCGACTCCCCGGTCGCCCCACCGCAGGACGACCTTCTGGCCCCTCTTACGATAGAGGAGATAGCCGAGGAGCAACGCGTGGATGACTTCTGCCAAACCGTTTTAGCACGAAAGTCAGAGAGTCCCGGGACTCGGCGTTCTTCGAGGACTACCAAGGGGTGCCCAAACGGAGACACCCCTTCGACCCTGATATCGTTCGGGTGGTGGTACCTCATACGCTCCGCGCCAGGCTCCTTCGCCTGTGCCACAACCCGGTCATCGCGGGGCACCCGGGCCAGAACCATATGTACTACGCGCTTCGACGCCAGTACTACTGGCCCCACCTGGCTGCAGACGTCGCAGCCACGGTGCGAGGGTGTCGAACCTGCGCGATGAACCGGGTGAAGCTGAGGAAACATCTCAACCGATTGAGATTGTTTCCAGCTACGAGGCCCCTCGAGAGCCTCGCGATCGACAACTTGGGGCCGCTCCCTAAGACGAAGACAGGAAAACGGTTCCTGCTCGTGATTACGGACCGCTTCAGTAAGCTAACGCAAGTCGTTGCGCTCCGCACGATAACAGCGCACACGGTCGCAGTTGCGTTCTGCGACTTGTGAGTGTTCAAGTATGGCGTCCCTCGCACGTTGCTTTCTGACAACGGCCCTCAGTTTAATGCCAAGTTCTTCCACAGCACGTGCCGTGTTCTGGGGATAACAAATTTGTACACTTCGGCGTACCATCCCCAGACGAACGGGCAAGTGGAGCGATATAGCCGAACAATCGCCTTGATGCTGAGGAACTACGTGGGTGAACACCAGGACGACTAGGATGTGTACTTGGGGCCGCTTCCGTATGCGTACAACTCCCACGTACATCGCACCACACGCACCACGCTGTTTGAGCTCGTGCTCAGCAGGCCACCGCCGGAGTTCTCTCTCCGACGGGCCGACGGCGACGCGCCCCCTTCCGATAGGGGGAAACAACGTGCCGAGTTCTTCAAGACCTTGGACTGGACTATCCAAAAGCCTACGGGAGCCTCCCGGCTCCGTCCCGGGGAATACGTATATCTCAACCCCACCGATGGGGCTAAGACATCGAACAAGCTCGCCTCGCCCGCTGTCGGACCCTACCGCGTGCTCGCCAATGACTGCCGAACCATCACGATCGATCGTGATGAACCACCGAGCGAGTCTCCGCCGACCGCTGCGTGTACGCGCCGTCTCCGATAGACGCGCCACGAGCAAGTACGA